GCATTACCGAGTCACCACCTCATTACTCACCGGAAGAACAACTCGACAACGCCACACCTCGCCGAGAAGCACTTCAACCGAATCCGACATACGCCGCCATCGCCCAAAGCGAGCCATCCGGGAAGGACACATGGTTCTTGGACAGTTGCTGCGGACAGCACATGTGTTCTTCAGGACGCTTCGTACAACGAGAGTACCAGCTTCAACGAGAAGTCGTCATCACCGTCGCCAACAACCAAAACCTGCGCACACGACGACAAGGAATCGTACAGCTTCAGTCACGGGAAACAAACGTCATCCTACAAATGTCCAAGGTTTTAATTGCAGAAGGCCTCGGCTACAACTTACTAAGCGTCAGCCAACTGATGGCAAAGGGAATCCACCTCGAAGCAGACAGCACCACCCAGGAGTTCAAGCTGTACCACGGGAGAGGAGGCCTCTACATCGGGAAGGCAGTCCTCAGGAACAACGTCTTCGTCTTGGATTTCGTCCCCGATCTCGGTACCGCTGACAGCGACGCCATAGTCAACTTCACCAACTGGACACACCCTCCGGATCTTGACCCTGACTTCAGTCTGGGCGGTTTCTGGTATTCACATACCATTCCTGAGACAGAGCGAACAAGGGCATTAGCAACAATTCAACATTCGGCAGCAGCAGAGACAACATCGGCAGCAGCAGAAACAACATCGGCAGCAGCAGAGACAACATCGGCAGCAGCAGAGACAACGTCGGCAGCAGCAGAGACAACGTCGGCAGCAGTAGAAACATCATCGGCAGCAACAGCGACAACGACGACACCAGTCGCCGGTCCTTCAACGGCACCGTTCTTCGTTGACGACACACCACCGACACCTGCACAACAACTTCAGCCAGCACCACGGGAATTTCATCACAGCCCCAGCTTCACCGCCGGCTTCTACTCCAACTCCGACATGTACCGACGCTCCCAAGGACACCGCGCCACCGAAGGAACCTGGCACGCAAGGATGGGACACCCAAGCCACACGGTGTTAAACAATACAATTCGAGCAGGAGTGCTTGACAAAGACTCACTTCTACTGACCGACGGCAGAGAACTTCAACGAGCACGAGAAACATGCTTCACTTGCCCTGAAGCAGATCTAGCACGACAGCCATTTCCATCTCACCACAATCCAAGCGCGCCAGCCTACGCACCACTCGAGAAGGTGTACAGCGACATCTTGTACAATCGCGAGCCCGGACAAAACACCTACAACTACACGATTACCTTCATCGACGCCGCGACCAGATACGTCTGGCATCTCAACCTACCAAGCCGCGACATGGCCTTCGAAGCATTCGTCGCGTGGCTCCCTGCAGCAGAGAGAGAGTCAGGAGCGAAACTGAAAAGCTTCCAGTCAGACGGGGGAGGAGAATACACCTCACAGAGGTTCAAGGACTACTTGGCAGAGAAGGGAATCAAGCGACTCATCTCCCTTCCCTACGCCCACCAACAGCAAGGTGTAGCAGAGAGGATGAACAGGACACTTCAAGCCACCATGCGCAAGCTGCTGCGTGGCATGCATCTGCCCAACCACCAGTGGCCCGAAGCAATGGACCACGCCGTCATGCTGCACAATTTGCTCTCGTCATCATCACTTCCGAACAACGCATCACCGCACCTGCTGTGGACAGGAAAATTGGGCAGCACAAAAATGTTACGAGTTTTCGGGTGCATGGTACAGTACCGACCACCATCTGCACGCGCCGGCCGATTTTCGCAACGAGCACAGTGGGGACTACACCTGGGCATCGAAAAGCACCACAACGCATGGAAAATTTTCGACATCAACAGCAAGGAAACAGTCGCAGCACGTGATGTCATCTTCTACGAGCACCTCACCCTCGATGTTCACCTCGCATACATCAGAGCCAACAGACCTGACCTCACGGGCGGATTCACTGGCACCCGAGCCTTCGCCTCGGCAGAAGACGAAGCTGACTGGGACGAGCAGAACGTGGACGGAGCCTCGGAAGAAGCCGGACCACTCCCGTACTTCTGGGTCGACGTGCCAATGGATGACGAAAATCCTCGCGAAAGCGTCAACGCCGAAGTCTTCTACAATCTCGCTGACGAAGGTTACGTTACACCTGCACAAGTCAACACCAACGAAGCAGAACGCGTAGGACCCAACTTCGCACCTGATCCAGAAGCTGGAGACGAAGCAGTCTATCCCGAGGACACCACACTCCCCCGCTACACACAGAGTGGACTCCAAATCCTTGGACTCGTCACCGCGGTCCACGGCGCCGCCATTCCTAAGGAGCCTGCGACGGTTCAGCAGGCTCTGGGGGGGGAGCACAGAGAAAAATGGCGCGAAGCCATGGACAAGGAGTTAAAGGCACTGAAAGAGCGCAACACCTGGAAAGTCGTTCCCATCGGAGTAGCACGAAACAAGACCATTCTTGTCAGAATCCCAGCCACTAACCACTGGGATAAAAGGGCTTGTTTGTGTAGCGGATGAGTGCGCCCATAACCCCCCAGGCCGACGTGCCTGTAACCCTTCCCTAGGATCATCGGGGATCTCCAAAGGTCCTCTGACACCCCCCCGCACTGGGATGCCCGAAGTGCACATACTGAGAATCGAACCCGAGACCTTCGCTCTGATACCATGTCAGAATCCCAGTCACTAACCACTGGGATAAAAGGGCTTGTTTGTATAGCGGGTGAGTGCGCCCATAACCCCCCAGGCCGACATGCCTGTAACCCTTCCCTAGGATCATCGGGGATCCCCAGTGGACCTCTGACAATTCTTACCGGAAAATGGGTCTTCCGTGTGAAGACGAAAGCAGACGGCACCATCGACAAGTTCAAAGCGCGCTGGGTCGTGCGCGGCTTCGACCAGGAGCACGGACGGGACTTCACCGAAACCTTCGCTCCGGTCAGCCGCCACACTTCACTTCGCATTCTTCTCGCCATCGCGGCCATGAAGAAGAAGAAACTACGGCAGATTGACGTCGCGAACGCATTCCTCTATGCACCCGTCGATGCAGAAACCTTCGTGGAACTACCGCACGGCTCCAACACAAATTCCACGCACGTCTGCCAGCTACTAAAATCGCTCTACGGGATCAAACAGGCGCCGCGACTGTGGCAGCAGTACCTGCATACTCGCCTCATCCGCATCGGCTTCAAGCAACTCCCGCACGACCAGGGCATGTACCGCCTCACGAAGAACGACGACTACGTTCTACTAATCGTCTACGTGGACGATCTCCTCTACATCGGGTCAACCGACGGCATCACCACCTGGTTCGAAGGGGAGCTGCAGAAAGACCTCACGCTCACGGTCTCATCTACCGTCACACAGTACCTCGGCCTCAACATCCGAGAAGGGGAGGATGCGATCTACCTCAGCGCCGAGAAGTACGCCGACACCATCGCGAAACGCTTCGGTCTCTCACCAGGCGGCATCTCCACGCCTTACCGCTACACGACAGGAACCGAAAAGGGACGATTTACTCTACTCAAGCCCGCCGGCATACGCGACTATCAGAGGAAGCTCGGATGCCTCCTTTTCGCAGCCGTCACCTGTCGTCCCGACCTATCCTACTCCGCAAGCCAGCTCGCCACTTACCTCAAGAAGCCCGAGGCAGAACATCTGGCGGAACTTGACCGCGCTATGCACTACTTCATCAGCACCGCGACGATCGGCCTAACCTACCACAAGAACGCAGCTACACCAACTAAGCTAATCGGCTACGTCGACGCCGATCACGCTGGCGACTCCGACAACAGGCGCTCACGCACCGGCTATGTCTACCGCCTCGAACCTATCGGTCCTATCTCCTGGCAGTCGAGCAAGCAGGAGTTAATCGCGCTATCTTCAGCCGAAGCAGAATATATCGCACTCTGCTCAGCCACCAAGGAGGGACTTTACCTTCGCGAGCTACTGGAAGAAGCGAAGTTAGCCGAGTTACCCAACTTCACCCTGTTCTGCGACAACCAGTCAGCGATTCGCATCGCCAACAAGAACGGTTTCGCGAACAGGACGAAACACATCGCCCTGCGCTACTTCTTCGTGAAGGACGAGATCGAGAAGGGGAAACTCGAGCTGTCGTACTGTCCCACGTCAGAAATGGCAGCCGACTACTTGACCAAGAAGCTCGGAAAACAGAAGTTCGAGTATTGCATGCTGCTGACTGGACAGAGCCACGTCATCAGCAGCGACACTCCAGAAGCGAAGGGGAGTGTTGGAAACAATAAATCCTAAACGCTTCTGTCGTGTCGAAACATCGCACCAGAAGTGAAACAAGCAGTACCGAAGCATGCGCGAGTCAACTTTCGGAGGTTGAGAGGTTGCTGGAGGTTACGCGAAAGTCAAAGGTCAAGCGACCTTTGACCTGACAAGTACAGCGCGACAGTTAAGGACACACAACTGACTCGTTACAGAGCAGTTGCCCGAGTCGTACTGTATCGAACCGCAACAGCAACAGTAAAGTAGTTATAACTGTATCTCTTCATATTCCTTGTACTATTATATAATCTTGTATCTCCTTGCTTTAATCAATCTACTTTGCTCTCACACACTAGTGCAAGGTTGGTTCACAAGTTCTTTATTGAACGCTTCCGCTGTTACAAAGTTCCTACCCAAAGTTATCCTCTGCAAAGATCCTAAGGGGCTATCTCAGCCCAACAGTGTCAAATGTTGTAGCCTATAGTGAGGTTTATCTTACGGGGTACAAATGTTAGGGTTTGCTATATGTACCCCAACCCACATCAATGAAAAAACAATTTCTTTCTTGACAATATGCTAGTATATGTTTTACGTATAAAGGCACTCTAAATCAGCATTGGGCATCCTAACTCTGCATGTTACAAGCAGAAAATCTGCATTTTAGTGTTACATTCTAGTGCCAATACCATGCAGCTGTGTGTTTCTACATCAGCTTGTATAGTAACTGTGGTGCCCTGCACAATCCAAAACCACAACGAAGTAATCCGGTTGCTGCTAATGTTGACTCCGCTGTCAGCGCTACAACTGTCTTTGCCTGTTCTGGAACTGGAAGTTGGAGGCTCCTCCCTTGCAGTGCCCTCCCACCACGAAGCGCCTGTCCTCCCTGTGCTGGAAATGTGCTGACGTGGGATCACCTGGCATGTCAGGGTCACACGGGTTCTGCTCGTTGTTCCACATCTTGCAATATCCTGCTCACACAAGAACCCAAGAGCAAAAATGTTAAGGACATAGCCAATATGTGCATGCCATGTCACTGTAGGGCCTGCATGTGCCAAGCCCACACACCCATTCTCCTTGTGCATATACCCACGCAGCTCCTATCATACGGAGTCCCAGTGAATTCCCCAGAATCTCTCCACCAGCATTCTCATGAGCGCACCTGTGGGGGAGTTGCCCTGTTCGAACATCCAGAAGGCACACCCCTCTGTCTTGCGGCACGCGCTCCAGCAGTCGTGAGCGCGGCGGCGGCGGCTGGTGGCGGTGGAGATGACCGTCAGGTGGCCGCGCGCCGGGTGGTCAAACAGGAACCCGCGCGTCGCCACGTTGCACTTTAGCCATGGACACGGCTCCGTGGGGACTGGGGTGGGGGGAAGTGGGCACGTGGGAGAGAGAAGGTGGCGGAAAAGGGGGTGAGAATGAGGGATAGAGTGGTGTGAACTGTGACAAGCATCCGCATAAAAGAATGAAGCAAAGTAAGATGCATGCAAGCATGTGAGCACAGAAGTATGGCAATGAGCAACCGAAATGCAACATATACACACAACAGCTGTGCACAGTGTTGAGGAATGAGTCAAGTTGCCCTCGTCCCAAGCAGCCCGTGTGGTACCTCCTCTAGCAGGCAGAAAGTACTCCTTGGGCACAGTCAAGTCCTCAGCAGGCACAGCGCTCCCATTCATTCCACCTCCACCGCCCCCCACAGATTGGCCCTGCCCCTGTCCCTGCCACTGTCCTTGCCCCTGCCCCTGGCCCTGCCCCTGCCCCTCTCCTTGCCCCTGACCCTCCCAGCCTCCCTGTCGTCTGGCACCCTGCCACTCCTGACCGTTCCCCTGCCCCTGCGCCCCTCCCTGCGCCTGCGCGCCCGGCCACTGGTCTCCCCGCGGCCCTGACACCACGCCACCGGGTGCAGGCAGCTGCCCCGACCCCAGTGACGCGCCTGCCTGCTGCTGCCCCTGCCCCTGCCCCTGCCCCTGCGGGAACTGCCCTTGCCCCTGTTGCTGCCCCTGGCCCGGCTGTCCCTGGCCCTGGACTCCACCGTTTCCTCCCTGCGGCGGGCCCTGCCCGTACCCAAGAGGAATCTGCCCCTGGCCCTGTACTTGCCCCTGCCCTTGCCCCATCCCCTGCCCCTGCCCCTGCGCCTCGCCGTCGGAGGAGCAGTTGCCGCCGAAGCCGAAGAAGCCCTCCCAGGGCGGCGTGGGGTTGTAGTGCACGGGGTTGGCGCCGTCGCTGGGGTCCACATTGCACGGACTCTGCTCCAAAGACCACATGCGGCAGAACGCTGCGCGCACGCGCAACGGCCGTGGGGGAGGGGCAGCGCACAGGGGTGGGGGGGGATAAAGACAATGTGATGCACGGTTAGGTACCGATGTCCACGAGCGATACTCCAAGAGGAATGACGGCGAACGACAACGAGCACGGAAATCAACTGTGTGTAAGTCAGCATTAACATGAATTTTATTTCATTTCATTTTTTTTATTGTTTTTCTTTTTTTTTTTCCTTCACTTTTCTTTCTTTCTTTCTCTCGTTTCCTTTCTTCTTTGTGTATTTGTTCGTAATATCGGTAAGCTTCGAAATGGAGGTAACGAACTTAAATGAGAGGAGAAGGCAAGATCGCTGCATGGCAATCAATTGTCTTCGTGAGCTGGATGCGATGCAATACGTGTTGGCACTCACAAGAGTGTCAGCCAGCTACCGAGCGCTCACCGTTTGTACGGTGAGGGCACGGCCCGCAGAGATATACACAAGGGGGCTTGTGTAGCATACAGCCCGCTAAACGACGACGGAAACCTGCGTGAAGGTTCTGAGACCACGGATGCACTCGCTACATCAGGATATATCGGTATGGTTGAAAAGCAGGCCTCGCGCACTCACCTTCTAATCAACAATCGAGTCACGAGAATCGCGCACTGACCTCCGTCGCTGCTAAAGCGGAACATCCAGATGAAGCAACCGCGCGTGCGGCGGCACAGCAGCATGCAGTGCTGCGACTTGCGCAGGTCGCCCTGCAGCTCCTCCTCCCCCAGGTGGCCCTGGTTGTTGTGGTCCCACAGGTACCCCAGCCGCGTCGCCGCGCACGACAGCGGCGGACACACGTGCGCCGCCACCACGCGCGCCGGCACGGACACCGCCAGCAGAAGCAGGACTGTCACCCACCGCGGTGGCTGCATCATGGCAGCCGGAACACGGGAAAAGACCGAGGGGTTGATACTAAGACCACTAAAATCGCGATGGGTGGCGAAGTGTGCTTTCTAGGATGCTAAAAAAATGCTGCACCTGCGTCCGTTCTTGTAAATTTCAGCCGCAAGCAACAGATTTGAATGGAGGCCCTGCTAGCTGAGGGGAGGGGAGGGGAGGGGCTGGCTGGGCTGGAATCAACCACTTCCCCCAAGCCTTTTTCCCAAGAAACGACGGCTATTCGCGGAGAGGCTCAGCTCCGCGAGGTGAGGGATGGGGGTTTGGAAATGGGGCAGGGTGGGATGGAGGATTTGCGGACGACCCACTGGCGGGAAGCTGGTGGTTGGCTGGGCGGAACGTGTTGCGCCAGGGGGGCTTGACGGCTGCGGTGCTGGGCTTGGGAACTGCAGCACTAGGGGAGGAGGGGGACGGAGTTGTTGAATCTGATTGGAAGAACGTCGTGTCACCTGAAAGGGGTGAGCCCAGTCTCAGTTTTGCGTTGTCCGCTATTCTCACGGAGCTGAGAATGAAATATGCATCACTTAGGGTGAGTGTGTTCCGTCAAATTTTACAAAGTTTATGTTTTGGGGGCGAATAAAAATTTTGAACTTCAGTCGAATAGAATTTGACTTTCCTTGTAGCGAAGTTCGAATATTGCGGGAATAACACTGCAAAGATGCAATCACACACGCAAGGTCGAACACCAGGTTGCAAGATGCAATTCGGCCCCTAATGTTACCCGATACATGCTCGCCATGTCAACATACTTCAATTTCCTGTTTCGCAATGCTGTCGTCAATTTCGCATGGCTTCAAACGTGCCGGAAACCTACACACTCGCTTCTACGTGTACAAGCACGTTCATCTATTCGACTCGAGTCGAGTTCACATTTGAAACTCGCACTTATGTGCTCCCAACATTTATATGCCTTCGCCAACGAGTTTCGCGAGTTTCAAAATAAATCATACGCGCCCTTATGCTATTGACGATGAGCCACACTCCCTTACTGTTTTGTAAGGAAACTTTTCTTTACTTCACGTCATACCGCATACCACGTACACGACTGTTCCTGCCGCTGTATACGCAACAGTAGCCACCTCGTACACGACCGTTCGTGCCATACGCAACAATAGCAAGTTACCATCTCGCAGCATACACCTCGACACTGCTTCCACCAACGCGACCATCGCGTGACCGACGACATGTCAGCTGACTTCCTCATGGAGCGACTGCCCCGTCAGCAGTATCAACACTGCGCCGAACTGAGCGGAGTGGTCAAACAAGCCAAGAGTTGCTACAGCTAGGAATTGTCACACTATACAGGTTATATTTGTGTAGGCTGTAGTGGGGTAGCCAATATGGGGTACATAACGTTTAGGGTTTCATACTTGTACCCAACTCTGTTCTAGTTCAATCATTCCTGTCTCTAGTTTCTGACATGGTTTCAGAGTAGTAGGTCCGTAGGACCTTTTTTTTTTTTTTTTTTTCGGGCCCACCTACCGTTGCGGTTACCGTGCTACCCTACGTGTTGATCTGCGCGCGCCTTGCCTTGCCTTGCCTTGTGACGTGCTGCGCTGCGCGCGCCGTCCTGCAGCCCTCGCGCTGCCTACTGCTGCCTTACACGCTGCTCCTCAGCTTGTGCGCCGCCCGTGCAGGCCCGTAAGGCCAGCGCGCCGCCCCTGCAGGCCCGTAAGGCCAGCGCGCTGTCAGAGGTCCACTGGAGATCCCCGATTGATCCTAGGGAAGGGTTACAGGCACGTCGGCCTGGGGGGTTATGGGCGCACTCACCCGCTACACAAACAAACCCTTTTATCCCAGTGGTTAGTGGCTGGGATTCTGACATGGTATCAGAGCGAAGGTCTCGGGTTCGAATCCCGGTGTGTGCACCTCGGGCATCCCAGTGCGGGGGGGTGTCAGAGGTCCACTGGAGATCCCCGATTGATCCTAGAGAAGGGTTACAGGCACGTCGGCCTGGGGGGTTATGGGCGCACTCACTGGCTACATGAACAAGCCCTTTTATCCCAGTGGTTAGTGATTGGGATTCTGACACGCGCCACCCATGCAGGCCCGTAAGGCCCGCGCGCCGCCCCTGCAGGCCCGTCAGCCCAGCGCGTCGCCCCTGCAGCCCCTGCAGGTCCGTCAGCCCAGCGCGTCGCCCCTGCAGGCCCTCGCCGCCCGCGCGCAGCCCTTGCCCGACTGCGCGCCGCCCCTGCAGGCCCTCGCCGCCCGCGCGCAGCCCCTGCCCGACCGCGCGCCGCCCCTGGAGGCCCTCGCCGCCCGTGCGCAGCCCCCGCCCGACCGCGCGACGCCCTCGCCACCCGCGCGCAGCCTTCATCTGCTCGCGCACAACCCCTGCTGGCCAGCGCGCTGCTTCCTGCCGTGCGCGCGCGGCCCCTGCCTACACGCGCGCTGCCTCTACCCGTGCGCGCACTGCCCTACCTCTGCGTGCGCTGCCCTGCCCGTGCCCGTCATGTCACCCGTGCGGGCTGCCCCTGCCTGCGTGCCGCCTCCTCGCCGCCCTTCCTTCCCTACTTCCTGCCCTGCTGGTCACATGTCTTCTCTTCACGGCGGCGGTGGGAGCGGTAGCGGCAGTGGCGTCCGCAGTGGTAGTCGCTTTGGAGCTGTTCGGCACGGGGTCTCTGGCGGCGGCCAGATGCAGCTGCACCGATGTCCGTCCGAGACCCTTACGCCCCTGCAGCTTACGCTCGTAGGTGTTGCGGTGGTGGCAGTGGTAGCAGTGGCGGTGCAGCTAGACCGTTGGGAGCTTCTGGCGGTGGCCTCGTGCAGCTGCCGCGACGGCCGAGCGAGACCCTTACGCGCCAGCAGCTTCATGAGTGGTACGCTTAGAGTGGGGGGTCTGGGAGTCCTGCAGTCCGCTGCCCGTACGTCATTCGCACAGGTGCTCGGGCTGGTCAGACTTGCGGGACGCGTTCTCACACACAGGCTCGCTGCTTTGCCCGTCTGAGTGACGACTGGCATGCAGTGTTTGGCGACGAGGCTGAGCTCCCCCCCTGGCTAGAGCTGCTGCGCGACAAGGTGGATATCTTTGCTCTCGACTTTGCTGCTATCCTTACTGCCATGTATGCTCTGACTGGTAATACTGAGGGTGACTGTAACCTGTGTGTGCCCCCTGACCCTAGTAGAGCGGCTGCTGCTCTAGGTGCTAGTGAGTCTGCTCTCTCTGGTACTACGCCTGCTGAGGCCTTGCACACTTTCACGCTTGACTCAGGTGCTTCCCGCTGTTTCTTTCGCGACAGTACCACGGTCACTCCCCTCCCCACGTGTGTCCCTGTCTCACTTGCTGACCCCTCTTGGGGCTCAGTGCTTGCACCGTCCAGTAGTGTACTTCCCTGTCCGGCGGTCCCGTCCGGTGATCTGTGAGGTCTCCACCTCCCCTCGTTCTCTACGAACCTGGTGAGCACCGCCGTCCTTCAGGATCACTGGGTTGACACCTTTACTCCTGGAGGACAGCGGGTGACACACTGCACGTGCTCTCGGACCGGCCGCCACCTGGCCACGTTCACACGTGCGCCTGGGTCCAGTCTGTACACCCTCACAACTGTGTCGCGTCACGCCCCTTTGTCTCCTCAGCTGTACGCGTCTGCTCAGGTAGCTACCCAGTGTGAGTGTCGCCGCCTGTCGCACGACACTCTCCTCTAGCACCACCGCCTTGGTCACCCCTCCTTGCCTCGCCTGCGTAGCATGCACTCTCGCTCCCTGGTCTCTGGTCTTCCCAGGTCTCTGCCTGCCCTCCCTCCCTCGCCTGCGCCGCCCTGCATTCCTTGCGTCGAGGGGCGGCAGCGCACCGCTCCTCACTCCTCCTCGTTCCCTCCCACAGAGGCTCCGCTGCAGACTCTCCACCTGGACGTGTGGGGCCCAACCGGGCCACGAGCGGTACTTCCTGCTGGTTGTCGACGACTACACGCGTTACACCACGGTCTTCCCCTTGCAGCGCAAGGCGGATGTCCCTGGTGTTCTGATCCCTTGGATCCGTGCTGTTCGTCTCCAGCTCCGCGAGCGGTTCGAGTCGGACTTTCCTGTCCTGCGTCTGCACTCTGACAGAGGTGGTGAGTTCACCTCCGACCTCTTGCGAGCCTTCTGTGAGGAGCACGTTAGCACCCAATCGTTCACGCTTCCGGCCTCTCCGCAACAGAATGGGGTTGCTGAGCGCCGCATTGGCTTAGTCATGGAGGTCGCTCATACCTCCATGATCCATGCGGCGACTCCTCATTTTCTGTGGCCGTTTGCGGTCCGGTACGCCGCGCATCAGCTCAACCTCTGGCCCTGTGTCTCCTTGCTGGAGACCTCGCCCACACTGCTGTGGACGGGGAAGGTTGGCGATGCATCGCGCTTCCGGGTCTGGGGTGCTCGTGCCTTTGTCCGCGATACCACCGCGGACAAGCTCTCCGCTCGCGCCATTCCCTGCGTCTTCCTTGGTTTTCCTACTGACGCGCCTGGCTGGCAGTTCTACGACCCCGCCTCGCGCCGTGTCTTTGCGTCTCAGGACGTCACCTTTGACGAGTCAGTCCCCTTTTACCGTCTCTTTCCCTACCGCACTGCCCCTCGCCCCCCCCCGCCGCTCTTTCTCACTCCAGGTCCTTCCCAGGTACCCCCCCTCCCCGCGCCAGGTCCTGCTCCTTCAGGTGTTTCTCAGGTAGACCCTCCTGTGCCTGCGCCTGTTGAGGTCACTGGTGACTCAGGTCCTGCTGGGGGTGGTCCTGCTCGGGGTGCTGCTTCTGGGGGTGCTGAGCCTGGGGGTACGGAGCCTGAGCGAGAGGAGCCTGGGGGTGCTGAGCCTGGGGGTGCGGAGTCTGGGGGTGCTGTGCCTGAGCGTGAGGAGCCTGGGGGTGCTGAGCTTGGGGGTGCTGAGCCTGGGGGTGCCGAGTCTGAGGGTGCTGAGCCTGAGCGTGAGGAGCCTGGGGGTGCTGAGTCTGAGGGTGCGGCGCCTGAGGGTACTGCGACTTCTAGTGCGCGGTGTCCTTGGAGTGGCCACCTT